CATCCAGCCTTTGAACAGGGCTTCTTCGCTCGCAGAATCTAAGATGGGCAAGCGAGCTGAAAGACAATTGTCCGTTAACGTAGTCACATATAGTCCTCACGCGACAAGAAGACGCCTTTCTGTTCAGACTCCCCCTCTTATTAGCTGCCCCCGTCAGTTGCTAATGACGCCGTCGATCTTCGTCATCGTTTCGGCCAATACCGTTCGATAGCTGCGGCAGTGGGCAGCTAGTAAGAGGAGGAATGTAAACGCAAATGTGCCCTCTTCTCACGTGAGGACAATACTCACATCACGTCACGTGAAATCTTGTAACGTTGGAAATGTGCGAGCCTGCGTACTTTTATTCCTTCAAATCTGCGAGAAACAAATCAGTGTCACGTCAAACTATTCTTATATGCAGTGACAAGCAAAAGTGCCCACACACTTTTTGAAACGATATAACTTTTTTGAAACTGCTACAAACGTCTTGAATGTTTTTGTAAATGTTAGAAGGACTTGTTTACTGTACGATGACTAATATACATTTACTCTCGTCTTCTCACTTATGTATCTGAGAACCTATAATGAAAATTTAAAAAATGCATTTTGTAATTGTCGGTAATTTATATACATGCTGAAGTCGGTTAACGCGTTAGTCAAAATTATCTGTCTTTGGTTGCAATTCGTGAAACCCTGTGATCTTCGTTTTAAAAGGTGTGCAGTGACACATTTGATCTTTCCTACGATGCTGCGCGATTTTACGAGACGTGACATTAATATGTATCCACTTTCAGTTTTCATTCATTATTTGCAAATTTGCCGCGATCATTTCATACCTCCTTCCCTCAAGCAGATCTTTCGCGCTTCGTTCCACGTCACCTGATGTTTATGAATCTTGTGGGCTCCTAGACCCGGCGTAGTAATATAATCGCTCCTATTTAAACAGGGTACACAGCCAATTTTGTCCAAAGATTGTTGACAGGATAACGAACCTGAAACTGATAACTAAGATTGTTGAACCTCATCCAATTTTTGGAATTTGTCTCACAACGACTTTTTGTCTCTCTACCAATTCTCGACATACAGTGAGGCACGGAAGTATTCGTACGGCATATAAAACGAAATTACTTTTATATTATATGGCCAAGTGATCTAAATTTTTTTTAGATGTTAGAGGAATTAGTTTATTAGACAATGGTGTTCTGTAGATCTCGGCAATTTTAGGGATGTAGGAAATTTCATCGAAATTGGTTGACCTTGATACGAGTTGTAAACAATTAAAGCTCACGAAAATCGTAGTTTCGTCTCAATTTATTACACTCTGAATATACCAGAAACCTGTAGTTTTTCAGCGAATTGCAATTTTTGAAAGTAATTCTTTAATCATTGTCTACTAAACTAATTCCTCTAATATCGTAAAAACAATTGAAGTGATTTCTTTCAATTTTGAATAAGTTGTCCCGTTGTAATAGGCATTCGAATGTTCGAGCGCCTTTTAAAACTCAATAATCTTTTTCAAATTGAACTAAATGACTTGCATTCTTTTTAAATAACGGGGGTACTGGTCTGCTACATAACGACTAAAATGTTATGTTTCAATTTTACTGTTAGAATCACATGATTGGAATGATAAAAGAAATAAAAAAACTCTCGTTTCTTGACTTTCTTATCTGAGCTTATAACAAAAATTAAAAAAAAAATGCCTTTCGTAGATCTTGGTGACTTACACAAATGCTGAAAATTTCATCGAAATCGCTTGACGTTGTTATGAATTACAACAAATTAAAGATATCAAAAATCGCAGTATTCACATGATTTTTGACATTTTCGACCAAAAACTGTAAAAAATCTGCAGTTCTTGAAATCTTTCAATGCCTGTACCGTGTCTCTGGGTTAATCGATTTCGATCATAATTTCAACACTCATATGAATTATCGAGATCTTCGAAAGGCACTTGTTAAATTTTTGTTATAGGTTCAGACAAAAAAGTTAGGAAGCAAGAGCTCTTTTACTTCTTTTGTCATTTAAAATATATAACAGAAAAATTGAAACGAAGCATTTTAGTCATTACGTAGTATACTTTATATATATTTACTTTATGTATATTTATATAGTTTTTTTAAAAGGCGATCGAATACTTTCGTTTCCTACTGTATAATATTCACCTC